TTCATATTTCACATATGTATTCCTTGTATCAAGACCTTGTTTTGGGTACCATCAAATTTGACCTTTTGACCTTGACCTTGGTGTTTGACCCACTTAAACACAAAATTTTTTCATTTTTACTTTGGCCATAACTTTTGAACGGTAGATACTAGGACTTTTATACTTCATATATATATTTTTTATGGAAAGACCTTTAATTGGATAACACCATCCTTGACCTTTTGACCTTGACCTTGGAGATTTGTGTTCTAATGAAAAAAACTTTAACCTTGGCAATAACTTTTGAACGGTAAGGGACAGAGCTTACATACTTTACATATATAATCCTTGTAAGAAGACGCTTTATGGGATACTTAGAGCTTTGAACCTTTAACCTTGAACTTGGAGTTTGACCTACTTTTAAAAAACAAACATTGATTATATCTTTAAAAGGGTTAGGGCTAGTGCTTTCATTCTTTATGTATTTAATTCTTGTGACAAGACCTTTCATTTGACATCAAGACCTTTGTCCTTTGACCTTGACCTTACAGTTTGACCTACTTTTAATTTTTTTTTAACCTTGACCATAACTTTTGAACGGGTAGGGCTAGAGCTTCCATATATATATATATATATATATATATATATATATATATATATATATATATATATATATATATATATATATATATATATATATATATATATATTATATATATATATATTTATATATATATATGTGCAGATATCCTGAAGCTGCACTCAAACGATTATTCAGGAAACACTGTAGGTTGTACAGGGATCAAAACAAATCTTTAAATGATGACGAACATGTGTAATATATCAGAGCACGAAGACATTATTGTTGTTATGATATGAATGTATGATAAATGTTAAAACACAAATGATAAAGCATATCAGTAAACTTTATTGTCCCCGGCTTGAAAAGTGGGGGATATTAATTTGGGTCTGTCCGTCTGTCCGTCATTCTGTCTGTCTGTAATGCTTTTGTTTCCACACGATATCTCGAGAACCTTTTGAGCTTTTGCAATGAAATTTTGCATAGCAACTCCCTATGGACTAAAAAAGAACCCTATTAATTTTGAGGTCAAAAGGTAAAAGGTCAAGGTCATAAATTCGCAAATTCTGCCTGTTATAACACTTTCATTTCCGCGCGATATCTCAAGAACCCTTTGAGCTTTAGCAATGAAATTTTACATAACAACTCCCTGTGGCTTAAGGAAGACCTCTATTAATTTTGAGGTCAAAAGGTCAAATTTCAAGGTCATAAATGTATACATTCTGTTTGTGTGAAACACTATCGTTTTCGGGCGATATTTCAAGAGGATGTTGAGCTTTTGCAATGTAATTTATACCAAAAGTCCCTAGGACCTCTCTCACCCCTCTCAAAGTGTCCCACCCCGTTTGTTTTATTAGTATTGATTGTATTACATGTCGCTAATTTTAGCACCGGGGCATGAAGGAGAGTTGTTACGTATAAAACAGGTTCTCGGCGGACTTTATATTCTTATTTATACATCTATTAGAACTGTTTAATAAAGGTTAAATTAGACAACATCCATTGTGTTAAATTTTGACAATATATCGAACGTGAATATATACATGTATGTGACTTAATGTTTGTATATAATTTTCGCCACGTGGTCTGGTGGTATGTCTCTTGCTTCATATGAGAGAGGGCAAGGGTTCGCATCTCGGAAAATCCAATATTATTTTTTCGAAATACTTTTTTTTACCAAATGATAGTATTCAGCATGTGAAATGAAAAATTTATGAGGTCTGGCTTGTACAAAGTCATAAAATTATCATTACAGTGTGATAAATATTCCATATAAAAAGAATCTTCTACACCACAGGTGCTTGAGGACAGGACCCCCCCCCCCCTTCGATATTGACCCCTGGGCCTTTTTGACTCTTTTCTAATAAATAATCTTTTATTGACATCTATACCAACAAATCGAAAAATTACCTAAAACAAACATTCTATTAAATCTACCCTACATTCTCTATATAAAAATCAACTTAAATATATAGAGAGGGTCGATATTTTTTATAAAATGTAAGTTTAAGCAAATTTTCTGAATTGATAGAATAGATTATATCACAAATGTGTCATCCATATATAATTTATGTGAAAAAAGTCTAACAGGCCCGGGGGTCTATAAGAAGGGGGGGGGGGGTCCTGTCCTCAAGCACCTGTGTTCTACACACATAATAAAGAATAATCAATCAAACCTTTATATGCATATTGGCATATTTTATTTGCTTCAGTATATGTCACCGGGTTCACAGGTGCGTGAAAGTCAGTCAATATGTCGGGTCTCAATAGCTCAGTTGGTTCGAGCGCTGGCACGGTACGCCAGAGGCCCTGGGTTCGAGTCCCGGTTGAGACTTGACTTTTCACCACCAGTCAAGGGGATCCGAACCCCCCCCCCCCCTCTCCCCTGCGCATGGTTTACTTTTTCCCTAAGCGGGGGACACAAATTCTCTGAATTAGCTTGTTAGTATTAATTGTATTACATGTCGCTAATTTTAGCACAGGAAAGTTGTTACAGAACAGAACATTTTATTTCTAATTTAGAGCCCATAACAGACAAGTATGAGATTGTTACAATAATAAGGAAAAGATAAGCCAATGAATAGCAAAACAATTACACAATTAGCAATTGACATAAATCATTTCAACAATAATCCTGTCTAAAAGGAATACATCAAATATGCATGTGTGTGTAAAACACTAATGCTACTATAACATGTTATCATTTATAAATTTGCCCACAAAATTAAGAGTTTCCGTATCTTCTGTATTGAGTAACCAATAAAGTTTTTGTTTATCATCTAAAGCTGAAAATAGTAAAAATTTATGAATAATTAACTGAATTATTTCTTTTCTTTGATGATCAAATTTTTTACATGTTATTAAAAAAATTAGTTTCATCATCTATGTTGTTAGAATTACATCTATTACATAATCGATCTTCTCGAGGAATATTGGTAAATCTTCCCACTTCAATTTGTAATCTGTGACAGGAAATTCTTAATTTACATAGAGATTTTCTGTGATGAAAATTTTTAACAACTGATAAAAAATTCTCATAACCCCAATTTTGTTTGAGTTTCACATATGTGGATAATTTGCCATCGGTATAACTTTTATGACTTGTATTTCTTCACATAATAATCTAATAAAATTTTATGACAAAATGACTTAAATTTATATTTCCCATAACAAATAACTTCATCTTTAATATTCAATAATTTTCTTAATTTCTGTATAAATGCAAACCATGAGTTCTTTCCATTCACAAAAAGCTTTTTACTACATTCATATGCATCTTTAAGTAAAGGAAGTTCTATGGACAAATTTTCAAATCCATACCAACTTTTAATCAACAACCTGACAATAGCATAATGCAGGGGGAACCTTCCCAATTCAGACAGTACTGCAAAATTTGTGCTTTTCTTATGAACGCCGAGAATATATTTACGGGATTTAAGGTGTATTCTTTCACAGGGTAGATTTTTAAAGCAGTCTTCAACTGTTAAATTTTGGCAGTTTAGGAATTTTTTAGTATTTATATTACTTGTACCCCACACCTCTGCATTATACAAAAGAATTGGTTTAATGGAAGGGTAATACATGTATATGTTTTAATCCCAGAGTCAATAAAATCCTTTAACTTATAATATGCTTTTAATGCTTTTTTATAAAGCTCTAATCCTGCTACATGAAAGCTTCCAGATACACTTAGGTGGACTCCAAGATATTTGTAGCTAGGCACACATTCTATCATATTATTTTGAAACATTAGTTTTTGTGTAATATTACGACCAGCCTTATTAAAGATCATGACTTTTGTTTTTTGAATGTTTACCTTTAAACACCAATCAGAGCAATACTTTTCAAGTTTAGCGAGTGTTGCTTGTATACCTTTAGCTGATAGGATAAAATAACAAAAATATTGGAGATTTGACAATTTTCCCTGTATAATATGATTAACTTTAATCTCTAACTTTAAAGAAATACTGCGGATAAATTTACATTACTGTGTGAATTCAGAGATACTTTTATGAGTATTTTTGATTACTTAACTGCTAATTTTATAAACCTGAGGATCGGACTACCTTAAATTAGACACCATGCATTGTGTAAAACTTTGACAATATCGAACGTGAATATATATATGTATGTGACTTCATCTATTATGATCTTTGCATATAATTTTCTGACGAGTACAGCAGTTCCGTGGTGTAGTGATACGTCTCTCGCTTCACATGTGAGAGGTCCCGGGTCCGAAATACTTTTTTTTTACTAAATGATAGTATTCAGCATACGAAATGAAAAATTCATGAGGTCTAGCTTGTACAAACTCATAAAATCATCATTACAGTTTGATAAATATTCCATATAAAAGAATCTTCTATACACATAATTAAAAATAAGTGCAATCAAATCTTTATATCCATATTGACATATTTTATTTGCTTCAGTATACATGTATACATTTAATAATTTAAAAATTCAGTCAGGGAGATCCGACTCCCCCCCCCCCCCCCCCCCCCGGCCGAACTGCGCATTGTTTACTTTTTCCCTAAGTGGGGGACACAAATTCTCTGAATTAGCTTGTTTCTTTGAAATTCCAAGAAGGCTGACAATAAAATATCAAGAATCCTTAGGTTACAACTTTACATCTTTATTTAAAGGGAATGAGTCAGTGTGCACTGGATGGTGTTCGTTGTGAGAATTAAAGGAAAAGGCTTGCCTAATCTGAACTAGATTTATCAAGTTTCAAAATATAGCATGTCATTTATAGAAATAAGCCAGTGAAGCCTATTCTATTTCCTGTGTTTTTTTTTTCTGGTGTAAGGTAAGAAAATATGACGAACCTTTATCCTTTTATTAGATTTGTGTCTGTAAAGCGTATTGTTAAGAAAATTGGCATCTCAGATGAAGGATTCTTTTTTTTTAATGACACGTACTTTTTTATCTTTGAAGGAGGATGGACCCACGACATTTACCAGAATCTGTTTTTGTGGGGTTGTGTAATTACATAGGGACTTCATATCAAATATCCATGAGGAGAGGAGTATGGGACATTAGTCAGAGAATTACAAACCTGTTAAACAAGGAGGAGCAGGTCTACGAAATGTGGAGTGGAAGTCGAAAGGAGGGATTCAGACTTGCTTCGTCTGATACGGATTGGATGTTCTCCCCAAAAGATCACAGAGTCATATGGAACTTGTGTCAGATTCAGTACTATACCCTTCATAGTAAAACGCTGATTTTATCGGAGTGGCAGATGAGTCCCCCTGGATTTGTTTTACTTCAGCTATTAACGCCATCATACCGAGGCTTCCTAAGAGAATTCACGTTGTCATGTGTCGAAATGAAAAACAGATATTATATATCTAGCTCAATATACAGACAGATTACTTGTTCCAAAATATTTCCCTTCTCTGACGTTCATGGTCCATGTGGAAGCGGAAATATTGGTGGAGTGGAATGCGATGCTGCACAGTGCCTGACATGTGACATTTGGCCACCGACTGCTTATTCTTTTATTACCAGAAGTTTACACTGGCCAGAATCTCGTGTTCTACAAGATATAGTTAAAAGTGGATGCCATTTTGTAGCAATTGGAAACAAGCTATCCGAACACGAAGACAAGGAATGGAGGATATCCTTCTCCCTGGCGGAGCAGAAGCTTGTATACTCGATGAACCATTGTCAGTTTCTGACGTATGCTTTATTAAAACTGTTCCTGACTGATGTTATTAACAACGAAACGGAGGAAAAACTACTCTGCTCCTACCACATGAAAACAGTAGTTTTCTGGGTTATCCAGCTAAACATGGTTCCTAGTTGGTCTCCGCAAAATCTTTTAGAATGTTTTTGGATCTGCTTTAAAGTGATTCTTAAATGGGTGTATGATGGGATCTGTCCAAACTTTTTTATTCCAGAAAATAACATGTTTCTTGGTAAGATCCACGGATATGCTCAGAATACCTTACTTATGAGACTTATGGGGCTATATGAGAGAGGAGTTGTATCCCTTCAACACATTCCAGCCATAAGACTTTATGTTTTACATGCTCTTCACCATCCTAGAATCTTTGTCAGCGTAGATGAACATCTTCTGCTTTCAGAGTCAAAATGTGATGTTGAAATGTTTATTGAAATTTCAACAGTGAATTCCCATCGCACTCCACATTTAAGTATCTGTTGGAAGCGTTTAAAAGCAATAAGTGTTTTAAGAAATTCAAGCTTGAAAAGGTGTCAGTTTCTCACAATTCGAAACTTTACTGCCGTTGTTTTGCAAGACATGGCCTTTATTTTACAAAATTTTCGCCTCCAGTCGAGTTCTACAAGAGAAATTTACATCTTAAATGAACGGATATGCAACCTGCTGAAAATTGCAGCTAAGTTGGGATCTATTTCAGATTTGTTGTACATTGCAATGTTTTACTGCAAGGTAGGTAGGTACTCCCAAGCTTTGCGTATTTTACAAATAACGAAGGTCAAATTTTCAAAGCCTTGGTTGTTATATACTATATACGTAAACCCGTCGAAGTATACTGAAGCTATGGGGGGAAAGTCTTGGCCTAAAAAGTTACAAGAAGCTGTGGCATTCGACATTAAGCTTTTTAATGATATATGTTATATTGATGACTTAGTGATGGAGCAACAATCTAGTTTGAAAAGCAAATGCCAAGTATTACCCATCCCACCATTTGTTATGTTACACATGTTAGAAGTTTTGTGTTACAAGAACATAGATTTAAATAGATTACCAGTTGCGCTAAATGACCTTGAGGTCCTGCTACACAGAGACCAGGGGGTATTTATAATCCCCCCTTTAAGAGACATATCATGGGAGATACTTGGGATCTGTCATCAAATGTCGGGGAACCTTGAGGCGGCTCTCTACTCCTTTAATCAATCTCTTCAATATCCAAGGCATGCGATACAGACAGCCACAATGACGAGAATACAGGACATCCAACGGCAAAAAAATTTTAGCAATGTTTTATGAAAAATACCTGACACAACAAAGAGGTATTAGGTGTAGTCTTTTAACTGAACATGTGTCCTCATCATTTCCCCGCGCACCCTCCCTCAGAAGTATAGTAAATTAGTATGTGTTTTTTATTGTTTTATTCGTAATATCATTATGTGTGGTTTTTTTTTTAAAAATAGATTTAGATTTTCTAAGGCCAAAAGAAAATATACTCTTGTTTCCTGTCCCTTGACCAAAAAAATTTGGGTAGGTAGGTAGGGAAAAAATTTTATTTTGAAAACTCAATGGATGCAGAACTTATATCATGTAATAACAAGAAAATGATATGTTAGCAGTTTACAGAGCAAGTTTGGTAATGAAGATTTATAAAGTAAAGGTATCCTGTACACTTGTGATGTATTAGTTCTGTAAATATTGTTGATTGACTTTAAAATTTTAGGAAAATAGTCACCCAAAAAATTAAAATGTATAAAAACTTTTAGGGTCGGAGGGTAAAATGTAGGGTAGGTCGGGTGACAGGAAACAAGAGTATTTTTTTTATTTTGGCCTAAGAACGAAAGTTAGAATTGTATTTTTTTATTATCATATTAAACTGCAATTGCGAGTCTACTACGTGTTGTATTTTATTAAATTTAAAATTATATATGAGTTTGAAAAAAAAAAAAATAAAACGAAGCTGCATGAGTGTACATCTTAAATATATTTGTTATTTACGTTCAAATTAATTTTTTTGAGATATGTTTAAATTGACTTAAAATTCTTTATTTAAAAAGTGGAGTTGGTAAATAATTCTTTTACTGTATTTAAAAAATTAATTGCGTTGGAACGCGGTTTATTTAATTGTTGTAATTTACAGGAAAGTGCTATTATTTTATATTGTAATCGACTGATCTTTTATATGAACTTATTAAAACATGCCACATATATGTATTGCATGTCAAACGTTGCAATATTCGATCTTTTCCATCAATATTGTCATTTTTCATTTGAATTGTAAAATTTTCAATTTGTAACGTTTGACATGCCATATACGAGGGTTGTTCGAAAATTATTGAGACATTGTGTATATTTTGCTTTCTAATGAACGTCTTTCGGTGAAAATTTGCATATACGTTTGACATAAACTAAGAATTAATAAAAGCAAGAAATAATTTACAAATATTAAATATTTTCTATACAATGGTATATAAATGCGTCAATAGTATGGGTACCCGGAGCAGTCACGAAATCAGATATTGAAAATATGTAACACCAACTTTCTAACTCTGTGGATCCATAAAAAGAACGAAAATAATTCAATTTAAGTACAGCTATTTGTAAGGACCAGGCAGGGGGTGATTCATGACCAATTCAGATTTTTACAAAATTTTAATATGTTGCTTCATGGACCAAGGGAACATCATTGGACAACATAATTTTTTTGGCCAGCCTTTGTTGCCATGGAAACAATGCACCATGTAAATGCACATGGCAACCAAGCAAAAAATGGAAAAATATGTGAATTTAGCTATTATTGAACACGGGAACAGAGCTTTTTTGATGATAGTACCATAAATAAATATTTTTTTCCTGAGAAGTACATACAAAATGATAAATGATTACCATAAGGATGAAATTATATAGGTTTTATTAAAGGTGCTGACTTTCAATTTAACATAGGCCATTTCATAAAATTCACTTTTTACAATATTTCTTCAAATCCAACATATTTTAGAAGCATATTAAGAAAAAGGCCCGCATGTTAAAGAAATCTGATAACATGGAATAGAAAGAGCACATTCTTAATTTTAACAAAATAAAATAAAACCCATGGGTTTTTTAAAAATACTCTGTTACCATGGCAACGAAATGTCACAAAAATTCATTTTTCACAATAATAACCTTTTTTAAGAGCACAGCAAGAAAAATTCCCACAGGTTAAAGAAATCTGATAATGTGGAATAGAAAGATCATTTTCTTAATTTTATTAAAATTAAATAAAACCCATGGGTTTTTCAATAATATTCTGTTACCATGGCAACAAAATGTCACAAAATTTCATTTTTCACAATAATAACAATTTTTAAGAGCATAGTTAGAAAAAAATCCCACATGTTAAAGAAAACTGAAGGCATGGGATAGAAAGACAACATTCTTAATTCTAATAAAACAAAACAAAACCCATGGTTTTTTCAAAAAATTTCTGTAACCATGGCAACAGAATATCACAAAAATTCATTTTTCAAGAAAATACCAAAATACATCATTTTCAGAGTATGTTGTGGAAAAAACACCACAAGCACATAAAAATTGATAATATAAGATAGAAAATGTTCTCCTAAACCTTGCAAATATTAGATAAAACCAGTGGATTTCTCATAAATTTTTGTAACCATGGTAACAAATTATTCTTGAAATGCTTTTTAAAATATATTGTCTTTACAAAATATCCATAAAATACAAAATAATTATTGACTAACAGACATGTATTTTTACAGTTTATTGTAAATGCATGAAAATATTTTTTTTTTTAAATATGCTTTTGTGATTTTTGTATCTGGTTACCATGACAACATCTCCAAAAATATTGTATTTGCCTATACAATTTAGTCAATGTGATTAGCTTGTATGAAGAAAACTGTATGAGTCGCCATTAGCTAAAATACTGAAAGACACAACATTTTTTTGTACCCAACTTTTTAAAACAAATATTTGGTTTCTGTGGTAACTGTGATTAACCATTTATGAGACATGATCTAAACATTTCAATTGTATTTTTAAAGCAATTTTTAAAATATTATCTGTAAATGTACTTTTTGCTGAAATACATAGTTTACAGTAAAGAAATCTTGAAAAAATGTCAATATAACATTAAAAAGTGTATCAAATGTAAAAAAAAAAAAAGAATGTTCTTGACTAGATAGGCAAACTAAAATTCAAAATTTTATGTTGAAGGGGTGTAATATTAAATATCCTTGGGTGTATCCTGGTCTTGGTTTCAATAAAACCCCTTTTACATTTGGAGGAGCTTAAAAATCAACATCCTTTGTTTCTGGTCTGGATTTCTTTCAAAAAGTTTTAAACTGATAGTTTCTTTATTAGATTTTTTGGCTATCATTTAGAAATGTGCCATTGAGATTATCTGTATCAACTGTACAGGTACATCTATGTGTCCTGGCTCTCCAGCTAGATTCCTCTGACATAATGCATGTGGTTCATTCATCAATCTGGAAAAAATATAATTCAAAATTTGAACTTTGTTAATGAAAATAGGCATTCCGTAAAGCAATTTTTTCTTGTTGCTGTTGAAGGAGGAGAGTAGCTAAGGTTCGTTTTCTCTATGATCATGATCATGAATGCAAGAGGGCCATTGTCCATAACACTCCCCAGAGTAACTGGTCATTCTGTTCTACACCAGATTTTTCTACTTGTAATACCTATTGTGGTTTAGGTCTATTCTTAGGGGGAGGGGGACATGATTTAAACAATTTAGAATCTACACTTAATCCCTGGATGCTTTAACACAAGTTTCAGCTTTTCTGACCCAGTGTCTCCCTATTTTTTTCTCTTTTCTTGACTATAACCCCTTGTAAGGGGTCTTACACAGGCAAAAGTGGCTGGTATGAACTTCATATGAAATTCGCATGAATATCGTGCGAATTCTTCGCATGAAAAGGAGACGAAAAGGACCACACATGATATTCGCATGAAAATATCATGCGATTTTGACATGAAATTCGCACGAATATCATGCGAATAAAAATTCGCACGAAATTCATATGAATATTGTTGCTGCTTTCTTTACAGATTTTCATATGAATTTCATGCGAATTTCATGTAAATATCATGATATATTCATATCAAATCCATGTGATGTACTCAGTATATATTTTTCCTAGTAAATTGGACTTTCAATTCTTTTAATCCATTTGATGAAAAGTATTAGGAAATTCTAATACTTAGATCTGTATATGAATTTGTACAACTAATCAACAACGTTTCACTGTTACTGTATTCAAAAAAATGCAATAAGTACAATCTCAAAATCTGATCCAGCAAATGACTTAATGAGCTTTATCTAAATCTTAATTTGAAAACTGCTTAATTTTAACACATGCAGATTTTGAGGAAGCACCACTATGATTATCCAAGTTATTCTTTTGATGAACAAACAACTGGACACATTCTGTTTCTTAATCTTTTTTATTGAATGCTTCAATTCTTTTTAACATTCTCTGCTCAAGGGCCACCCATCTGTCTGGAAATTGTTTCATCTGCAAGAGAAAATAATTGTAATGAATACTGGAAATACCGGTAAATGAAATACAGTCATGAATTTTACAACTGCATTTCCAAAGTCAATATTTCCCTACTTATCAAGATAACATAAAATATGAACAAAAGTAGATATAGCAATCTCATAATCACCCCTAAGTTCAATTTGGTAAAAGGTTGAATTTATATTGCCTACATTGTAAATGATCTTTAAAAAATTAAAAAACATACATCATAAATTATAATGATTTCAAAATCATACATCATAAATCATAATTAAAAGTATAATTATTATGTTTCTTAAGTATAAAATTATTTACAAAAAATGAAAACAATTTTCCTGCAAATGACTTTAAACTTAAAAACAATCTTGTGTCAGGTATCAATTAAACCTTGAGATAATTGTCTCTGTTTCATTGACCTATATCTGATGATGCAATTTGTATCTGTTGCAAGGGAATTTAAAAGCAAAATTTACCTACCATTGCATCTATGTTCCTTCTGAACACACGCCAGAAATCTGTGGCTGTGGTAGCTGGATTTTTTCCTGAACAATTTGAGTCCATCAGCGAAAGATCTCTGTAAAGCAAAGAACAGAAATAAATCTAAAAATATTATTAAGACTAGTCATGAATTTTATATCTTCAAAGTTCAACTTTTTAAAGGAATAAGTTTGAATCTGTTTTGCTATTTAAACCGTCATGGAAATATTATGCACTAATTTTGCCTCTGTTATCAAAGATTGTTGGGTTTATATTGTTTTTGTACTGTTATGTCCATCTTTCTGTCTTAATATTTAACCTTTAAACACATTACTTATGAGTGGGTGGGGCTATGGCTTCATATTCCACAGGTGTATTTCATGTAACAAGAACTTTATCGGGGTACTATAAAATTTGACCTCTTGACCTTGATATTAGGGTTTGATCCACTTTTACAAAAAAAATCCCTAAACTTTAACCTAGGCTAATAATTTTGAACAGTTAGTGCTATCAATCTGATACTTCACATTATTTTGTAATCATTGTGACAAGACCATTCAATAAGTTTTTTTTACCTTAAAATTGGTCTTGACCTAAGAGTTTGACCCACTTCTAAAAAATATAATCTAGGCCATAACTTTTTAACAGTTAATACTAAAATTCTCATATTTCACAGGTTAAATTATTCCTTATGACAAAACCTTCCCTCAGATGCTAACAATTTGACCTTTTGACCTTGACCTTTAAGTTTGCCTTGCATTTCAGTCCTCGCTTTAAGATGTCATATAGGCATATATAAAGGCATAAACATAGGATAAAATAATATATGTATGCATAAGTTTATTTGCTGAGTACCTAGGAGCAGAAAAAGATGACTGTCAAAGAATTACAGTGTACTGCATTTTTTATATGTCTTCTATAACATCAGAACCTATTACTGGGTACCCAGGGGCAAAGTAATGTACAATTTTGGAAATGGAACTCTTTAATACTCATTATAAGTATATACTTCAAATGTACTTAGTTTGTTTGCATTCTATCAAGAAGCACTTTTACCATGCAAAATTTGGTTGATAATGGTTCAGTCAGTAATGGATAATTTGTTATTGATGGGACACACAACAACTGATGAAAAGAGAAGCAATACGTCTAAAAACAAATAACAATAAATTGACACTTGCATCCCTCAAGTGTCCATATTAATGAAATTAAATTTCAATCCTTACCAATGCATAAGAGTCACCTTGAAGTTGGTCTTCTCCTCTGAATCGGTCATTCGGATGGTGATAACCAGAAATTGCCGAGAAGTCAGGTATACCCCTGCAGTCGAGCCTTTATTGGCATTTACTCCACATTCTTCTCTTGTGTCACTAGCTGAAATGTATCATATTATTGAGAATCTCACAAATTTAAGAATTTTTTATAAGCTGGTATTTTTACAATTGTACTTTTTTTTATAAAATGCATTTAAAGTTTCGATCAACAATGCATGAAATCAAAATGAAAAATTTTACGACAAATTTTGACCAAAAACAGGATATGTTTGTGAAACACTGATGCCCCCGTATGACAACATAGCAAAGATTAAACTTTTCTTAAATGCAAATTTAATTAATAGGTACCAAAAGTAGGATTTTCTCACTGGAAAACAATTGCAAAATTTGAAACAGGCCATTATTAAAGTTTTTTTTTCAATAAGTACAAAAATCTCCAAGGTCAAGTCCTAAAGGCTAAGTTACTAATTGGTATCCAATGAAAGGTCTTGCCACATAGAATTACTTATGTAGAGTATGGAAGCCCTAGCCCTAACCTTTCAGAAGTTATGGCCAAGGTTAATTTTCTTTCAAAAGTAGGTCAAACTCCATGGTCAAGGTCAAAGGGTCAAAGTTCTTGTTATCAAATAAAAGGTCTTGTCACAAGAATTAAATATGTAAAATATGAAAGCACTAGCCCTAACCCTTTGAAAGTTATGGTCAAGGCTTGTTTTTTAAAGTAGGTCAAACTCAAAGGTCAAGGTCAAAGGGTCAAAGTGCTTGGTATCCAATGAAAGGGTCTTCTCACAAGGATTACATATGTGAAGTATGAAAACAGTATCCCTTACCGTTCAAAAGTTATGGCCAAGGTTCAAGTTTTGCACAGGTACAGAAATCTACAAGGTCAAAGGGTCAAGGTTGTTGGTATCCAGTGAAAGGTCTTTCAATAAAAAATACACATGTGAAGTATAAATGTCCTGGTGTCTACTGTTCAAAAGATATGGCCATTGAAAGTAAAAGTGTAAAATTATCATGTAAAAGTGAGTCAAACTTCAAGGTCAAGAGGTCAAATTTGGTAGTACCCAAAGAAAGGTCTTGTCACAAGGAATACACATGTGAAATATGAAAGTCATGGCTCCAATAAATCAAAAGTTATGGGCAAGGTTAAAGTTTTTGAGGACAAACAGACAGACAGAGAGACAGACAGACAGACGGACACGACAAAAACTATAAACTGTACCCCAACACTTTGTTTACGGGGGCATAAAAAGGGCTAACTTAAGCTTCTGGCTTAGGTGAGAAAAATTCAATGAAATATTCCCAGCTTAGTCATAATTGCCTGTACAAAATGTTCCGCCCGGAATATAGGGGAAATTGAGGCGTACTTGGAGAGTGAATTCCGGGCGTCAGTTTGTCTCTCTATATATGGTGATACACAGGTTCCGGGCGTAACCCAAGCGGAAAACAAGAGGAATTGGGCAGGAATTTGAGGCGAAAAATGCAAATGAGCTACGCCTGGAAAAACAAATGACGCCCGGAAAAAATTACGCCTGGAAAATAAAATTCCGCCTGGAATAGAATTACGCCTGGAATGTCCTTATTATTATATAATACTATGTGACCTAAAAACCTATATATTTACCATGTTAACAAAGAAAAACATTAAGATTATGATTTACAATGTTTAAGCTAAAAATTCAGGTTTTTGAATTGTAAGAAAACATAATGTCGGGTCATTTTACCATATATTATAGAAATATAACATAAATTTTGTGCATTAAGGGACACTTAAAAACATCAAAAATTGAGTGTGCATTTAGAATTAAACAAACTTTTTACAATACCAGTACATTTTATCACTTTAGTAATCATATTGAAACAATTTTAGTTAAATACAATTCATCATTTACTCAGTAGTTTACAGTTCCTCAGACTCACTGCATCCTGACTATCAGACTATTATTTCTCAGAAATGAGTGCAAGGAAAATCAAATATCTAAAGTAATTTTAGGGTCAACAAGTTATAACTACATTATCCTAATCAAATTTACTCAAATAGGTACCAGATATTAATGATCACACCTACCAGCAGATACTGTACTGTTATCCAGAAGAAGTGTAAAAGCCTTAACTTTGAAATATCTGCATTTCCTATTTCATCTACACTAAACTCCCTCCTTCATGATCAAATTCAAACTTAACCCCTATCTGAAATGACCCTTAATTGATAATTAAATTGACCAATCAGAGGCTTTTACTTCTCCTGAAAGTTCCAGCCGTAGTTTTTTTTTTCTATTTTCCTGCTATTTTACGCCCGGAAAATCTGAACTTGCCATTGAATTGACGCCTGGAAAATACAAATGATGCCTGTAAGACGTCTCTTCTCCTGAGGCGTAACTTTTTGAAAATTCCGTCTCCGCCTCAAGTACGCCCGTAATTTGCCAATTCCTGCTCAATTCCACCCAAATTCCAGGCGGAATCCGCCTTTAAAATTCATACAGGTGGTCACGAGATTAAATTCCATAAAATTTTCATTATTTCTGAATTATCTCCCCTTTGATATGGAATGGCCCTTCATTTGAATTAACTTGAATCCCCTTCACCTAAAGATACTTTGTGCCAAGTGTGGTTGAATTTGGCCCACTGGTTCTTGAGAAGAAGTCGAAAATGTGAAAAGTTAAATACAACAACAACGACGACAGACAGACAATGGACAAACTTTGATCAGAAAAGCTCACTTGAGCCTTCGGCTCAGGTGAGCTAACAAAAAATATTATAAAATACTTACATGTACTTTTGACAAATTGGGAAAATTTAGGAGTTAGGACTACTCTGGTACTTGAAATCTGGTCCTTGTGATGACAAGTAACTGTGCCTATACAGAGAAACTAAAAAATGTCAGGTACTGTAGGTTCAATAACATTTAGTTCATTATCTCTTTGTCACTTTATTTAAATTAAAAACATGTATTCTATAAATTAACGAAGATTATATACATGTATTTACATTAAAGAAATGCAAGATAAGCAAATATAAGCTGAATGATTAAGGTTTTGCTACATGTATACATGTAATAACAAAATTGTTATACACGTAATAACAAAATTGTTATTGATTGTTATACACGTAATAACAAACAATGTATACCACAGGCTCTGCAAAAAATATTTCTCTCTTAGATTTTTTTTCTTACCTGCTTACATGTATCATATTTATAATCTTTGAGAAGCTATCAGTGTGGTATAATGGAGTGCCGTGCATAGATCTGCTTATAACCAGCAAATTATACCTGTGAGTATAGAATACAACATTTAATAAATATTTTCGAATTAATAAATATTTTGTAAATATATGTACAGTACGACTCATTTTAGGGAAGTGACTAGGACTTTCTGTCTTGCATTCCAGATGTAATTAAGCCTCTTTATATCTGCATACATTTTGGAATGCACATGCACAGGTACTTGTGGACAGGACAGTGGGGTATTTTTTTTTTTTGTTGAGAGGTGGAAGGATTTTTTCAAAGGTGGGGGGGGGGTATTATAATGTACATTTTACACCTGCATGTAGTTAAATAACTCAATAGGATACCGGGTGGGGTATGGTTTTTAAAGGAGGAGGTTGATATAAATCTAGGAAAAAATATTTGTATGGATTACCTGAAAAGTTTTTGAAAAAGAAAGGAAAATATTGATCTCAGAACCTGAGAATCCTATCCTACAACATTAGCTTTTCACTGAACATTTTCTATGGTAAAAACACAAACAAACAAAACTTTGGAACTTAATTCTTCTTATTCCTTTTTTTTTTGCAAATCCAAAAGGGAGGGTTGCAATTTACCACCGTAGTTAGAATAATCTTAAGCCCTCACCGGGTACGTAGGACATTAATTCTTATCATTTTAACGATAGAACATCAACATTCTATCTACAACCCCCCCCCCCCCCCCCCCCCAAAAATGCTACGTGTGTTATTTGATTGCTGCAGTTTAATTTTATATACTAGATCCCAATGCAACAGGAATTAAAAACACATTAAAACATTAGGCCTATCAATAGGCCAATAATATTGTAAGAAAAGCAGAGAACCTGTATTAGGCCCATCTTTCATTTTCAACACATAACGTTATGCGTTACCATAGATAAAGTTAGATCCACTTGAATCTCATATCTGTTATTAAGCTGTCAACAAATATTCCCAAATAAAGTTATTACATCCGTCTGATATAAAAAGAAGATGAGAATCTTACAAACTTACAGAAAATATGGAGTTGAAAACATTCTGCTCTTTCTTTCTTTCTGCTTTCTAATTCGCATGATGACGTAATTTGTGACGTACGGCATTCCATAAAAGAACTAGCTTTGGTTCCATAAAGTAAATTTATATCACTTAGTCATCTGCGTTCGTCTTTGAAGTGGAGATGCGTTTTTAAGATAAAAATTTGAACGACTAATATTACAAAGATTAAGGTATTTCCCGATTCTTGGATGAATACGAAACCGATTAGCCAGGTTCTACTTGCACTTCCTGTTACAGAAAAAAAAAAATCCGAGTCAGCAAGAGCTCCTTTCTATGGTTTGTTCTAGACTTTCCTTTTGGCTGATTGTGATATACCTCTTTGAAACAATGGTAAATATGTATGCTTTGTTGATTTTTGTCATATTTTGTGGTTATAATGCACATTTTTATTGATAATTCAACTTGCAACGAAATCTTTCAGAGTAAATTCGGAATGCGTTCTCATTTCAGGTTCTACGTAACGCAGTCAGGTGAATCGACTGGTCCTTTTTATGCTTAGTGACATCTATATGAAGGTTTACTAAATTTTGAGTAAGTAATTTAAGGTTATTTTTATTTAAACTAATTGTCATTACAAGTTTCTACATATGTGTCAGAACACAACACACAGACAGTGTTTTTGTTCTGACACATGTAAACACAACTTTTATAGACCAAGTGTATCCCATAAAATAATTTAGACATAGGTCAAACAAAAGGTTCAATCTTCTAGGGGATTAATTTGAGGTCCATGCAAAAAAAGTGTAACTATATATATATTGCATTTGATTTATTCACAGTTGAGGTATTCTAATTATTCTGTGCAGATTTTAAAAAAAAATCAATCTTTTCAGTATTTTACTGTTGTCTGTAATATATTAAAAATTCATCAATTACATGTTTATTGTCATCCAATTGGAACATCACAATTAAAATGAAAATTTTTATTTCATTTATGGTTCAATAGCAGCCCGATATATAGAGTCGCTAGGTCAATAACACACTGTATGGTGTCTGACACATCCCTTTAAAGTCTAATATGCAGTTATGAATCTGTTAAACACATGGTCTTTTCTGTTTCGCTCTAAACATATAGTACCATTTAACATACCAGTACGCAGTTATGATAAGGCTGTCCGAAGGCTTAAAATGTCTTAAAACATACATTTTATTTTGAGCTAGATTTTAATTTCAATATGTTATCCTTGTTTGAAATTGCAGTCAACTTGAGATAACAGTTCAATCAGGTATTATAATAAAGCATTTCTGTGATGTCCGATGACTGTGTTGATCACGTGACGGACATTTTTGATATTCTTAAATGTTGCACAAAAATCGCATCGGCACAAGTGCATAACACAATTATTGTGCAAAGTTTGTTATATAGATCAATTTATCGTGATCCATGGTACTTAGAAAGTGCTGGGGGCAGGTTTAATTTTTTCTTCTTAAGAAAATAGTTTACGATAAAATAAAATTACCAACGTAAGAAGGGGTATTTTCCACTCATTATCGCGATTTATACAAAAGCGGATAAAATACATACGATCCCCCAGCAAAGTTCAGTTAGAAGACATACTTCTCTTTTAGATTCACGCAAAATATCTTCAATTTATCCTCGTCTTTCACTTGTGCCAGTCCAATATAAACACGATTCATAAATTCTAACTCTGTCTACGGAAGTGTAAGGTGAGCGTTTCAAACATAATATTTTGCTATTGCTTGAATATATGCATATCGGACAAGCAAAAGGAATAGAGATATTTAAATATCAAATGTTAAACATTATAACAACACACACAAGCTTAAAAAACAAACCTTACATTTGAATTAAACAACAAGTCCCCAGAATAAATCTACATGGCGTATAACAATTATGACACTTTCCCCGTCATGTCAGCTCAAGTATGCAGTGACTTGACGTCATATTCTATTATGACGTCATATCTAGGTAGTTCAGGGAAGTTAAGTACAGTTTGAACAGTTTGATATTTTACGGACAGCCTTATCCTAGCTGCGTACTCAGTAATTCAAGTTGCCAAAACATGGACTTTTCAAGTGATATCATTGAATTTATTGTATTTAATGTCATCCTAATCTAGGAATTGGTCCCTTTGACCTAAACAATTGGAATATTAGTATGGGTAATAGTATTTTATAATAATTAATATAATAATTAAATAATTAATTAATTAATATTCTTTGTAGGAAACACTTGTCAGGACACAAGACTGAAAGAAAGACGTACTTAAAAACTGCCTGTAAACACAACAATCATTATTAAAGTCAATGGATTACCCAGGAACATCCAAGCAATATGATATCAGAGACTGGCAATTTTTATCACTTGGTGTGGCAGAAAAACCTAAATAAATATTGAAATGTTCAATACTTTGTTCATTGCTTTTCTCTTGTGTATATGAATATCGCATAATATTTATGCGAATTTCCCACGATTTTTACATGAAAAACTGATAATTTGGAATTCGCATGAATATCATGCGAAATTTCAGTCACATGAAAATCGCATGAATTTCGCATAAATATTATATGAAGACATTCGCATGAAATTCGCATGTGGAACTTTTCGCATGGTTTTTATATGACTTTCGCACGAAATTCATGCGAAAAGGCAATCGCATGAAAATCATGCGAGCCACTTTTCCCTGTGTAGCCCTGCCAAGTTTGGTAAAAATTGGCCCTGTGGTTCTTGAGAAAAACCTCAGCTCTACAATTCTACAATTCTTCTCTAAATTTTCAAGTGATGTAACCCATTCTTTAACCCTCACCCCATCCTTGCCTCAAGTAGTTAGCTGTTATTTGATTCTGAATATTAGTATAACTATTACAGCCTTGCTCATCTGAAAAGGCTTTTTTTTCAACAACAAAAATTCTGTTTAGATATGCTGCATTTTATAAATTTTAATTTCTAACTTTCTACTGATTTTAGTTTCCAATATTCAAAGAAACATTTGTATTGATTGAACAAAATAATGAAGATGACATACAATAATACATCTTTTACTCCTATTTGGCTTCCACATACATGTAACTGCAGTAAAACTTGTTTAGTACAAACACGGACATTGTGAATTCACAGATATAGTGAAGTCTTCTTGGATCCCCAACTATATAAATATTACAAAAGTACAAATATGGATATAACGAATTATATAGCAAAGTACTTTTACAGGTCCTAGTTCGTTATAACCGAGTTGTACTGTATATATATATGTGTTGATAAATGATTTAACAAGAGACCCAGGGCCACATCGCTCACCTAGCTTGGATAAAAATCAAAAATCAGCTTTGTATTGAAAAGCTTAAAAGCATACATGGTCCTGACCTCTCTCTGTAAGGGAGAGAGAGGGGTATGATTGAACATAACTGAATCTACACTAAGGATGCTTACAGGGTACTTATTTTTGACTAACTGTGAGTTTTTCCCTACAAGTTTGAACACTTTTATTGTGGCCCCACCCTATACCTGGGGAGGGGGGGGGGTGTCTTGATTTGAAAAAATCTACACTACAAGAAAATGCTTCCATATGTATATATAACTTACTGGCTTTTCTGTTCTTTAGAAGAATACATGTATTTTTAAAGGATTTTTTCTCTATATTCTTAGTTAAACTTTGATTGGCCTTTGTGGTCCCACCCTATCCCCGGGGTCATGATTTGATCAAACTTGAATCTACACCACCTGAAAATGCTTTCATATAAATATTACCAATCAAGGCTTGATGTATCCGAGAAGAAGATTTTAAAATGTTTTTTTTATATATTCCTGTGTTAAACTCTGATCATCCGTTGTGGCCCCGTACTACACATGGGGTTCATGATTTGAAAAATTTGAATCTGCACTACCCGACAATGGTTCCACATAAGTTTCATAATTCCTGGGCCATTGGTTCTTGAGAAGATATCAGTAATGCTATTAATTTTGTAATTCTCTCCCCTTGAAGAATGACAATGACAGACAAAAGACAAACTTTGATCAGAAAAGATCACTTGAGCCTTCAACTCAGGTGAGCTAAAAAATTCTGAGAATTAAGATCAGAAGAAATATATACCTGTTTCAAAGTCTCTGAATGGTAGTGTTCACTATAATTCAGCCCTTAGTCAGAAGGCCCTTGATTGCTAAATGAAAAGGAATGTTCTTAATTATAATTAAAAAAAACTGCAAGTTGTCAACACAAAATACCGAATTATCAAATGATATATAAATAATATAAAGTATATATAACACTAACGTTAGTTGAATTGATAATCTTTTCTTGGTGACGGACTGACGGTTGTCCTCAATTTATAAGATTACATTACCTCAGCTGTGCAGGTGTTGTCAAAAGGGATTTTAAAATTCAGAACAAGGCTCAGATTGCATCTGAAATGATAACAAATCATGAAATTCATCATCTGACAAGAGAATGCATACATTTATGTAACAATTTAGCTTTTAAATTATTGATAATAAATATTTATTTACCTCCCCCCCCCCTCCACCATGTACTAGTGATATTATCATGAATTCATACTATAAGTTATAAATTGAAAAAGAGTTATAGTTTTGTAGGATCAAATTTTATTTAAGTTTTAAACCTAAATTAGACGAAAACATTGGCAGAAACCCATGCATATTGTATGTGCTCTCATATTTATAAATCTCTCTTTCTATGTGTGTATATATTTGCTTGTAGGAATATTTGGGAAGCCCCCCTCCCCCATTCGGATAGGGTTTTATGGCTTTAACCCTCCCCCCCCCCCCCCCCCCCCCCCCCCCCCCCCCCCCCCCCCCCCCCCCCCCCCCCCCCCCCCCCCCCCCCCCCCCCCCCCCCGTTTCAACTGATAAAACCATAACAGTATTTTATTGGTTGTTTTGCTTGTCAATTAAATTTTGTAGGACTCTTCACCCTTACTTATAATTCAAATAAAAGGAAATGCATTTGAAGAATATCATACACATATAAGTTTGGAAATATACAGTTTGAAAGGGCACAATTTTACATTTTGATTAAATGAATAAGAAAAATAGCAATTGATATGGTTTTGCCATAACATCTGAGTTTTTTCAGGGGTTAATTATATATTCACTATTTTAAGAAGGACCCTTTGGCCACTCCGAAAACAGTGTTTGAAATAACAGTACGCCTGACCGCCCGAGACGCACAATTTAATTTTGCTGTGGGCTTACCAATTTGCACATATCGATGCCGAGCTGGACTTGTTTAAAGTTTTCATTAATGAAAATTTAATAATTTGATTAATCGCTTCCGAATCAACTAAGGATTTGTGATTAAAAGGGGGGGGGGGGGGGGCCATGGATAACTTTGTTCAGACAAGGGGTCTTGATAGTGAGGTTTTTTTGAGTATATTGTATTTTATTTGAACCGGAGACATTACATCTCATAGGTATACAATATTCATACATAAGATTTGTACAGGCTGTACAATATACATGTATTAATTGCATAACAATATCATTTAATTATTATTTAGAACATCATTTCTTAATTGATAAGAAAAATACAAAAATTTGCCCAGGTTACATAGTTCTTTAGTATTTGTAGAACTCAATAGCTGTACTAATTTAAATACTGATGGTTTTTTAATATAATAACACTTAATATATTTATTTCTAGTAAGTTCTTCATATCGAGGACATTTTAATAAATGTTCCAAAGTACAGTCGTATGTTAGTCATACCATAGTTTGAATGAAGGGGGTCCAGGGGGCAAAGCCCCAGAAGCTCCTGAGATTTTGTGTGTTTAAGATAGTGATGGGAATCGGTAAGACTTTCATAATCGATGATTGGGTTACTCTAACCTACTAATTATCGATTATAATCGGACATGTAAAAAGTATATCAATTTAAACAAGTAAATGGTAAGAATGGGTAAATGACGACTTTTTGTGGTGATCCAACTGGTCCTTTGTTCATTTTATAGAACCAAAAGTACGCCCATGCCCAGAAACATGCTTTGTTATCCGGGTATATACAAGAGTCTGTTTATCTGCACCATTACCTTACACAAATAAGTCAAAAGCAATGCTGTGGATGGAAAATTAGGGTTAAAAACTATTATGCTTGTAAAATAAAATAATGAACCGATTAATCAGAATTTTGAAAATGCAATCGATTGCTTGGATTATGTCAACAATCGACTGATTTTCGATAATAATCGATGATTGGAACACCACTAGTTTAAGAGTAAAATTAGGCGAAAAAATAGTGGTATTTTTTGTACGGCATCATTAAGATAATATTTTCCTACAGCAAAACATGGACACTATTATATTCATATGGGGGGGGGTATCATTTGCTCATTGCTCACAGTACCTCTACTTTCAAAAATCAATTTTATAAAAGACAATTATTTTCTCAGTTAGGCTAGTAGATTTTTAGCAGGACTGATAACTTTTACTAGCAGTCAGCCTGTATGTTTGCTATCAATTTTTCTTGACTTTCGCCTTTTTCAATTTGAAAAAAAAGTCAATACTGTGTTTGTATAGACATTTGTCTGTGTTATGTATTAAATACCTGATCTAAATATGACATCCATAGAGGCGCCGAGACATAGAAAAAATCATGCTCCATCCAATCTCTGCTGTGGCTTTCACTGCTTCTTGCTATGGCTTCATGTATGCTGAGGTCGAGGATTTATTCCAGTCGACTGTGTATATTGCTGTACTAAGGGATTATCGACGGAAAGGAGAGATACTCATCATACTCTAATCCCCAGCAGCGAGCTACTGTTCAAATTCCAGTACAAAATTAAATGTTTTTTCCCCAAAATTAACTGAATTTAAGTGGTTTTGATGTTATTGTTAAACAAGTTAGCCTTTTTCAAAACACTCAAACTCTAACTGTCTAAGCATGTTTAGGAAATAAAATTTTGTTTTTGTCAGATAAAATTAAGCAAATTGCAGGCAGTTGTTTTTTTTTTATCCTATGATTATATTTTTCTAATAAAAATTTTAGACTTACAAGTCTTACATGCCCCTTGGATGTAAGAAAACCGGCAAAACTTCCAAAATGAAGATGAAATCACACACATTTCTTAATCCTCCCCTTCTAAACTGAAGAGTTAAATACACTCTTTCCAACTCCTTTTACTAAAGAGTGCCAAGGGAGATAACTAGAATTTCATGTTTTTACATAATTTAAAATCACAATATCTATTCGTAATTAAAATAACCCATGGGTTTTTTAATTGTTTTTTACTCTTTGATACTAGATGTTCAATATTTTATAATTCACATTCAAGGAGGGTGCGGGCCTTCTTAAAAAATTACCTGCACGTACAGACACCTTTCAATGGATATTGTTGACTGTTTCAGTATATATTGAATTCATTTTTTAATCAACTATGCATGAAATCCATTTATAACTATGATCAAGTATTTAGTTTGATGTATCTTAATGTAAATATGATAGTTTTTGAAAAATCTATCACTATCATGAATCACTTATTTTCATTTCTGCCTGGTTCTTATAAATAGCTGTACTTAAGTGTATAATTTTTCAGCTTTATTTCAAATTCATGTTGTACAACTTTGATAGAATTTTGATTCGAAATACAGAGATTGTAAAAAAATTAAGCGCGGTAGAGAAATCTGCTTACAACAAAAAAATGGAAAAAAAACAGACAACGGACAAATTTTGATCAGAAAAGATCACTTGAGCCTTTGGCTCAGGTGAGCTAAAAATAAATACTGCCCTCTTAAGATTAAAAATAAAACAAGAGGCCCATGGGCCACATCGCTCACCTGAGCACTGTGGCTAGGAAAAAGTAGAAATTGGTTTTTTATAGAAAAGTTTAAATCCAAAAGTAGTCCCATGACCAATCATGGATTTGCTATTCTTGAAAGGATGATTTTTAAAGAATTTTCCAATATATTTCTAGGAAAAACCTTGGTAGACCATTGTGGCACCGCCCTACCCACGGGTGTCATGATTGGAACAAACTTGAATCTCCACTACTTGAGGATGCTTCCATATAAATATGATGAATTATGGCTTTGCTAATCTTCAGAAGAAGATTTTTAAATAATTTTTCTATATGTTTCTATGTAAAAATTTGGTTGGCCTTTTTTGCCCCGCCCTACCCCCAAGGGTCATGATTTGAACAAACTTAAATCTACACTACCTGAGGATGCTTCCATATAAATATAATGAATTATGGCTTTGGCATTCGTGAGAAGAAGATTTTTAAAAAATTTTCCTATATATTTCTTTGTAAAACTTTGGTCGGCCATTTTGGCCCCGCCCTACCCCCAGGGGTCATGATTTGAACAATTTGAATCTACACTACCTGAGGATGCTTCCATATAAATATGATGAATTATGGCTTTGTCATTCTTGAGGTGAAGATTTTTAAAGAATTTTCCTATATATTTCTATGTCAAACTTCGGTCAGCCATTTTGGCCCCGCCATACCCCCGGTGGGTCAGGATTTGAACAAACTTGAATCTACACTACCTGGGGATGCTTCTATATAAATATGATGAATAATGGCTTTGTCATTCTTGAGAAGAAGATTTTTAAAGAATTTTCCTATATATTTCAATGTAAAACTTCCTATTTCTTACTTCCTATTGTGGCCCCGCCTTACCCCCGGGGGTCATGATTTGTACAAAATTGAATCTTCACTACCCCAGGATGCTTCCACATAAGTTTCAGCTTTCCTTGCACAGTGGTTCTTGAGAAGAAGATTTTTATAACATGCCACCAAATTTTCATTAATTCCCAATTATCTCCCCTTGAATAAGGGCGTGGCCCTTCATTTGAACAAACTTGAATCCCCTTCACTCAAGGATGCTTTGTGGCAAGTTTGGTTGAAATATGCCCAGTGGTTCTTGAGAAGAAGTCGAAAATGTGAAAAGTTTACAGACAGACAGACAGACAGACGGACAGACGCCGGACAAAATGTGATCAGAAAAGCTCACTTGAGCCTTTGGCTCAGGTGAGCTAATAAAATGATAAAATACATAAAAAAGATATAGAATATATATAATTTATGTATATTCTTATTATACATAAATGATATAATGTATCCATACTTTGTTCAACGATAGCTGTTGAAAATGTTTATAGAATACTACGAATCGACATCCAGAAAAAATATGTTTTTGACTCGCCTATAAGTCGGACATAGACTTTTGGACTAAAATTTAACTCCTAAAATACCGACTTATAGGCAGGTATATATGGTATGTATCTTAGTAAAGTCTACTTATGTGCCAAGTTATATTGAAATTAGACCAAAATTGCAGGAGGAGTAGCATTTTAAAAGTATTTCACAGAAATTTCTATTTTTAGTAACCAAGGCGAACACCATTCATTAAAATCATTTTTTTATTCTGAAGAGCTCAGCAGTGTTTTGTTTCAAGAGCTGCAAATGATTCTAGATATTTTGACAGTTTATTTGTTTTAGAAATGGCAGACTAAGTTGTAATAGGAACTCAAATTTGGTAGAAGCTAAAACTGCAGCATCCTGGTGCCATGCCTTATCTATTGTTTGAACCAAAACAAGAAACATCTAGATTCTGTTTTACTATTTTATTTTTTGATTTAAAACAAAACATGAGAAGAAATAAATTTATCAAAGCAACTACAAAACATATTTTAAAAAAGTAATATTAAGCTTGGAAAAACAATTACATGTACCTCAACCAATATGAACAACTTATTAAATGTCTTGGACAGTTATATCATCTTGTACCAAAAGTAAGAAATACAAGTTTATTACT